TGTTCCATTTTCAGGTCTTTAATATTTTACRCAACATGAGAAAAATAAAATGAAACAAATTTGAAATCTCTCACCTCCTTTAAGCATTTTAGAAACCCCAGGAAGACTTGTCACACACAGGACTGCTGAAAAGAATTCTTTTAATGGACGTGTTAGCGATAAAATGTTAAGAATTGGAGTCTGAGCAACAAAGAGACCTAACTTAAAAGTTAGAAAATAATGAATGGAGGTCTCTGTGGAGCTTAAATATTACTTACATTATTTAAAGCCTATTTCTATTACTATGTTTTAAAACAATTACAGTGTCTCAAACACTGTAATAAAGACTAAAATGCATTAAAACAAATCTATCTCTTGAATACTAGCCTTGTTTTAAACCTGTGAAACTATAAAAGAGTTAAAGTACTTAAGAGTTCACTTAAGTACATTTAAGAGTAATGTAATTGACAATCCATATAAGGGTGTCAGAACTGCTTGCTTTTCAAGATTTTTAATACGGCATTTTGAGCAAATATTTCAATTGGTGGAGTTTTCTGATTGCATGACAAGTATTAATTGCTGTCAGTGCACCTGACAGCATTAGAATGCCTGACAACTTTATTTCCATCTGTATCATGAGGTGCCTGTTGAGCAGCCCCTCCTACTTTTGCCTTMATATACTGTTTCTTCTGTGTGAAAGAGAAATGAAAGGCAGGCAGGACCGGTGAACTGTTCCTATGAGGTGATACATGCCAGTTCTTCCATTTAGCATCCTTGGGAGCTCACAAGATTGAAGCAGACTTTGAAACTAACTTTATTTACAACTACACATGGACTATTTTTACAAGCTACAAGAGAGGGGGGATAAATTAATKGCTGTTAACTAGTAGAATTTTACAGCAGCCTGTAGTAAAACTTAAATTTATATAAGAAATGCAAATGCAGGACACTGTAAGGAAGCTAAATGAAAAAGTTGCATTTAAAGTTGTCATGTATACTTTGTTTTTCAAACTTGTAAGGARCAGTAGGGTAGTAGGAAGGAATGGATTATTTTCTTTTTAGGATTAAAAGAGGGTAGGAATAAGTATTTTGGTCAGTTTGTTAAGCAGGAAAAGAGAGTACTTTGTCCTTTTAATAAAAAACAATGCTGGTCTTGTACTAACCCCATATGAAGAGCATTGTGTGCATTTATTAAAAGACATGCCAGCCTGCTTAGATTAATGAAGAAAGGAAGGATACTGTACAACAGATTTGGGTTCTCTGCATCTAGTTTGTATCCGCTTGCTGCCCTTGTTTTTCTTTTACATCAGCACAGATAACAGAGAGCATGTGAGGAAAAGAATATTCTCTATGGGGATGTATTGTACCACTAYWAAAGCAGTAGAAAACTAAGGTGAAYYAAAAGAAATTGCTMGGAATCTTTCTGGGTYTTGGTTGCTACTTTYAATAYACACATGCTCTTGGTCTTCTGTGTACAGAGATTATTTTCTTGTGATGAGAGTATTCAAAAAATGTTAACAAAATAAATCATTATTGTTTGCTAGGACATGTGTTTGAGACAGATCTTTTTCTGTGAATCTCCTTCCTTTTGTGGTATCCCAAAATACAGCCCTGGTGGAGAAAATAGGAGCATTATGTTCTATATCACCTGGTTGGGTTTTTTTTCTGTTTTGGTTTATGTGCGGGGAGCTATGTAGCTTGCAATTGGTTTGATKATTTCTGCACTTAATTGTCACCATATGTTGTTTGGGGAGGTTAACTCTAAGGAAGGGGTTCCCTTYGAGTTTTTGGTACTTTTACAAATGTTTGAGCTCTTGGCTCAGTGTTAATATTGGCAAGTAGCTGTGCAAAGCTATTACGTATCTGGCTAATACCCAAACTTCCTGSTGACTAGGTGATTCGGGCCAGAGGAGGATGCACTGAAAGTCTAAATCATCCCTGAGCMTGTAGGAGTGTAACCAGTGAAAAGCAGAACTTATGGAATACAGTGTACACGGTATTTAAAGGAAACTGTAATTACATGGAAAGGTAGAAGTAAAGATTTGGAAAATAAATTGAGCGAGATCTTCTATTAGCATCAGATTGGAGTCCTATGCTCCAAGTTTCTATAAAAATACAGAGCTAAAAGACAAAATGCATTGTCAGACTTCAGTGCTGTGGGTAATGTGAAGCCATGATGTTGCTGTCTGCAGAGTGCAGGTAATCCGATGGGGCAGGAATGTGGAAAATAAGGCAGGCTGAAGTTGGAGCAGGCATCAGGAGAGCCTTTGGCATGARACAGGCTGTATCAGGTTTGCTGGGGTTTTCAAGGCTGATGAGAGCATGGCACAAAGTGTCCAATGCCTGCCCCCAGCTGAGAATGCATGCTTATTTTTTTGGATCTCACAAGAATCCATACAGAATATGGCTTTGTTTGCAATGCAGAATTTTAAACTCATGATTATAGTGGTTTATTTTAAGGTCATACATTATGTACATTCAAAGGTACTTACTTAAAATAAGAAAACACTGAGCTAAGCAGGTGAGCATTTGGGTGTTTTTTCTAGTACTAAGCGATTTAGATTTTAAAACTCAACTGTTACWGGAAAATGCATGTAGTGGGTCTGCAGTCTGTCCCCACCAGACTGAATGAATCTGGATGACTTTCCTTCTTAGAGAAGGTTTTAGAGGGATGTTAYATTTGTGAGCTCCTTTGTCCTGGCTACGCAACACCTACAGCTTGGGTGAAAAATTAGTACTTGAGAGTATTCATATTCCTCCCCTCCCYTGCCCAATTAAAATAGCAATATAAAATAAATTTATCTTTCAAAATAGAATCATCTCTGTCTCACCTGTCCACTCTAAGTTCAGCTAGAATGGCTCTGTCAGCTGGTTCTGTGGGAAGATGGGATCTCTCCTCTCTGGTTTTTCTTTAGGCAGTAGATGATGATCTGTGTGGCAATTGTTGAGGTCCTGAGGCTGATATTGCTTCTGCATGTCTCCAGTTCTGATGTGTTGCGACRTACAGTAAATTTCCTGAAGCTAGGAAGGCTGTGTATAAGCAATAAAGAGCAGAAAATGATGGAGGTGCTTTTCTCCCCTCTTTCATAATGCAATGGTGTATGGCTTCTACTGTCTGAAACTTTTCATAGCCTTAAAGACTCCAGTTTTATCCTTAAGAAGTGCACACTTTGAAAAAGCCTATTTTCATGTACTTGTCTTTTTCWGAGGTTTTGCAAAAAAAAGCTAGTCTGTATAATTCAGGCTGTAGAAGGTATCAAATTGCAAAGGAAAATGGAGAAGCCTTMGGATTTTTTTAAAGTCAGGGTTTTCAGCTTTTGGTCTTGTGAGCTGTCCATAGTASCTCATTAAAGTAAGAAAACCAAGTATATAATCATTGTGTTTGTGCTTTGTTCTTAGAGGTCTCTGTTTCGGTTAGAATATTTCTAGGGGGAAAATAAAAGAAACAATTGAAAATGCTGTGGATGTAGTAACACTTCTTTGGTTGGTGATGTTTTGCTTCTCTGCTTTCAGAATTTTCACAAGCTTATGCACATTACAATGTTCAATCAGCATTTGAACATTATTAAAGAAGTGCAGTGAGAGTTAGCTTTCCTTTGCATAAGGAATGAGGATCCTTTTTCAAAATAGAGCTCAATGGAAAGCAGTGCTAAGTGTGATAAAAGTGTTCTCTGATTTCAGATGAGAATTTCCAAAACTTCACACAAGTTGAGAAGACCACAACTAATAAGCTCAACAGGCAAAACTACTACCTAGAAATACATATTGGAGACACAAGCAAAAGGCTAAGTAGGTTATTAAGTAACTCCAAGCAAGAAACATAAGTTGCTTATTTATCAGACTGTGATATTGAAAAGGAAAAMCAGTATGGGTGTGATATCAGATACAATATAAAATATTGTAGATATTCTGTACCTCTGGTTCTGAGGATCAACAAAACTGTACCAAACCCCACCWCCTGGCCATGTATCATATCTGCTGTAACTAAAAATATTTGTGTGCTGTTTATTGATACTGGCAGTTTCTGCTAGCAGTATTGTTTTTTCACTAGGTCAGTGTGTGCTGTTTTTTGTGGGGCTTGCTGTTTGTTTTATTTTATTTGTGGGTTTTTTTACTGAGTGAGTGGGAGGGTGGGGTGAATTTCATTTCATCAATTTAGAAGATGGTTGTTTAGTTGCTTTTGCTCAGGATCTGTCAGGAGTCACTGGAAGGAAAATAATCTTTAGCTCTGCTCTCATGGGAGATTTGTCTTTGAAGGAGCTACAGAACTATTTCAGGCAACTCGAAAGATACAAGGATGGGATTTCTCAGAGGGCTTGATGAGTTATTTGGCCACAGGATGGCTGGTGCTTTAGAATTAGGATAAGTAGTTGCATTGCCCCAGTCACTGTGGTGAGAATTTTTTTTTTTAACTGGTCCATGTGTCGAAGCTGAGGTGGCAGAAAAGCTGCACAAGTTCTCTTGGTGGAACAAGCTGTGGGTCATCTCTAGAACGATGTGTGTCAGCTGAAAAGATCTGGATCGTGGTGTTAAAAGGCCAAAACTTGAAAATACAGATCAACAAATGTACATCTGGTTCCTTTACATCTGTGTGCCTTGGGAATGGATTTTGGAGGCTTTAAGAGGGTAGTTCTTAATGTCAACAATAAATACTTTTCTTTATATAAATTTCACATTGTCAGTCATTTAAGTCCGTTAACATACCAGGGAAAGTATATTTTTGGGCTCATATTGTTTACTGCAATTTAACTTTGACTTAAAGCTTGTTAAGCTTTCTAGCAAGAAAGAAACAAGGACATTTATTCTGATTGAAATTAGTTTGAAAATGCATTTTTTATGAATCATCCTAAATATAAAATGTATACTACATCTTACTTTTGAAGTTACTACTCCAGGCAGTGAGGTTTCTCTGGTATATGGTGATTACTTGGAAGTTTATTTTCCAAGATGAAAACTTAATTTTATCATGTGTTGTGTTGTTTTTTTTTTCTTTCCCCAGATCTGTCTTTGGAGGAAAAAGAGATTTTTGCCTATTGGAAGAATGCAGTGAAACTGCCAGTATTTCTAGCCGGAATTATAAATTTAATATTCAACTTTAGTGTTACTAGTTTCTTACTAAATAGTACCTCAAAGTAGAAGAAAGATGTACGGAAGTGCAAGAACAATCAGCAACTTGGAAGGAAGTCCCTCCAGGTCTCCCCGCTTRCCGCGGTCCCCTCGCCTGGGTCACAGGCGGACCAGCAGCGGAGGAGGGACAGGGAAGACGTTATCCATGGAGAACATCCAGTCCCTTAACGCTGCCTATGCAACATCTGGACCAATGTACCTGAGTGACCACGAGGGTGTAGCTTCTACTACTTTCCCAAAGGGCACAATGACTCTCGGAAGGGCTACAAATCGAGCTGTGTATGGTGGCCGAGTCACAGCTATGGGGAGCAGCCCCAATATTGCTTCTGCTGGACTGTCACACACAGATGTCCTCTCTTACACTGACCAGCACGGAGGGCTGACCRCATCCTCACACCACCACCACCACCAGGTTCCTTCCATGCTGAGACAGGTTAGAGATAGCGCTGTGTTAGACCTGCAGGCTCAGCTGAAGGATCTACAGAGGGAGAATGACCTCCTCAGAAAAGAACTAGACATTAAGGACAGCAAGCTGGGGTCCTCTATGAACAGCATCAAAACTTTCTGGAGTCCTGAGCTAAAGAAAGAGAGGGTATTGAGGAAAGAAGAAGCAGCCAGAATGTCAGTTCTTAAAGAACAAATGAGAGTTTCCCATGAGGAAAATCAGGTAAGTAGTTAATTATGGAAGTTTCTTTGTGTTGATTTACAACCARACACTTCATGTTTTGCTTACGGTACTGTATCTGATGCTTGCACAAGTTTGACATTTGCCACAAAAACTGTATGTCTTGATACAGTTGATCTGTTACTTGATCTGTTTCTGGCTGCTAAACTGTAGGAAAGCACACCAATAAGAATCAAGGTACAGGTCATTTCCTTCATGCAGAATCCTTTCACGTTTTAGCTGGAGAAATTGATTGCGTCATTACCATTCTCTTATTTTTGAAACTTTCTCTAGGGTTCTTTTTACAGCAACTGTCTAAATATATTTGGCAACATTTTCTGAAGAGGTAAATGAGCCGCCTTTGTACAAGTATAGATAAACACCCAGAGGCATATTTTGTTTAAACTGTACAGGGATTTGACAGTTTTAGAGTTAAAAGAAGATAAATCCCCATATGCAACTTTCTGTACTTCTGCATTACAGAATGAAGTCAGAGTTTTCAGTAACATTTCAGAGACTTGTGTCTTAGAAAATCTAAGTATCTTGTGAATATGTATTTCAAATAGTTCTATTCATGATATAACATTATTTTCCCAAAGTTATAAAAGGATTCAAATATTTTAATGTGGATGGATAAATCTGTGAAGTCCAACTTTGAGACTTTATGCTATGTCAAATATATACAGCTATATATACAAATCTAKGTGAAACAGTGGCACAAAATAGATAAAATTCTTTTTCCTTTCTCCACACACGTTTTGGCTGCTGGTCTTACTTTAAAGCTGCTCGTTTTTAGACCATCTGTTAACTTTCCTCAGACAAAAATACAGTCCTGTGTTTCTCTCACTTCCAGATTCGAAATCTAAACTTCTTTGCTGGCAGGCAGCAACAACTGACATTTTAAATTCACTTCCGAGTTTGTGATCAATTAGTGCTTCTCAGCAAACTTTCCATCTTTAGGCAGGTCGTGAACCCAAATATCTCCAGAACTAACAAGTCTGTTACCAGTTACTGCAGTGGGAAATGGACAGGGCTGGGATCAGGAATTCAGTACAATGAATTAATTTATTGCTGTCTTGTATAAGTTCTGTATCTGGACTGATAGTAGTAGTTGCTCATTATTTATTTATTTATAGCAGATTCACTAGGATGCTGATAGAACTAATATAAAAAATAATAGTGTGGAGGTTCTGTTTTTGGAAAACCTCCTTGGTTAGATATTTGAATGGGGATAGTGTCACCTTATTAAGAGGAATGTTCTAATATTGTGTCATTTATTTTGTGCAGAAATGTTGCATTAATATCTTATGCTGACATTTGGAATCTGAATCTGGTACTTAGAGACTTTGCCACATACCAGTGGGGTTATGTTTTGTTTTTTTCCCCTTAAAAGCTAGTTTGCCTTAAGTTGAGGGAGAAGTAAGCTTGTAACTCATTTATGAGTTCATTCATGTCATATCTTTTTGACAAATGCTCTTATACTTTMTTGTGACAGCAAACCTGGCAAAAAGAATGTATCTTGCTCTATGTGAATCTTTAACATGAATCCTTACTCTATAATATGATAACACAAAGACTGGGTAGCTCAGCATTCTGTTGCTAACAGTGTCCAAACATTCACAGAATAGGCCAAGTACATGGTGATATCCCCMCAGAGTACTCCTTAGGGTCCAGCTTCTCTGTTTTTGTCCTTAATAACTCGGTGGACTTGAAGCCAGTTACTTTTGGACCTATTCAAGATGCCAATGTTCACAGGCTCTTTCAGCCTAATACGCCTGGGAAGAATCAATGCTTTTTATGTGTTTTTGCATTAGACTTTGGTTGCTTTTGCTAGGATTTCCTCTACCTAGTACTGAAAGAAGCAATAAATAATTGATGTCTGGTGCCAGTCTCAGTGCCACTTATGACTTTMCAGTGCCATCATCACATCCCTCCCTCAGCTCTTTCCCAGACAGGAGAATCTTAGCATGTGTCATAATTCCTTGTGAAGCAGTGACATGATGTTTTCCAGACCTATTACATGTTTGTCTTTTTTTCTTTTTTGAGGTGAGKACACCAAAACAGCTTATGTTCTTGATAAAGTGTAAAATGAGTTGTGTTGATGTTGTAGTGTTTGCCCTTTTATTCTGTATGTCTCTCACAGGAATTCCCAACAATTAGTTTGTTCTTTCCAGATTTGGATGCCTTTATTTTTGMTGCTGCTGAGTACTAGGCTAATATCTTAATGGAAATATTTATCATAGCTGAAAAAATTCTCACCACTGATTCTAACCAGTTTAGATCCCAGCTTGTTCTGCATAAAGGTAGAATTATTTTCACTTGTGTACCACTTTTATCTCCCTGAATTTCATCTGCCAGCCTTTGACTATTTGCTTAGTCTTAAAATTCTCCCTTGCATTTGCTTTTTGTCTTTATTGCCCTAAATAACCAAATACCATGAGGAAAATTAGTCATTTTACTGATCATCCTGTTCTCTGGGTTACTTAGGAAGTGCCAGTCAGCACAAAGCTCAGCCACAGGTTCCAGCAAAGCTCCACGGGGACCTTCTGCTGGTTTGAGGAGTCAACCATGTGTTTCTGCTATTTCCTCTCTTGTAATCAAATATTTGTGTAGAAAAGGACCCATCCTCTTATCTAATTGCTGCTTCCTTTTCTTGTAAGCATTTGGAGGGGAGCCTTTCTGAGGGAATGGCTTTGGAAGCCCAGGCTGGTTGTGTCAGCTTGTTTGTCACTCCAGAGGGCTATTGACTCTTTTAAACAGCTTATTTAAATAGAATTATCAAAAAGCTGTAATTTTAAGGAACAAAAAAAGGTGATGTGCTCTATTGCATATATACTAAAAGTGGTTAATCTTTCCTTGTGTGACTCTGAGGCTTATTGGCTTATAAAACTCTTGAAAACTGAGTTGTTCTATACTGAAACACTAAAAAATATTTTCACATTGGCTGTCCATGGTGAAAACCACCCTGACTGGATTTCTTAGTCTCCTAGCAAACTTTGGGAACTCCCAGGTGACTAGAGAAGGGCACATCTATCTGCCTGCCCAAAAAAAAAGTGAAATAAGAGAATGAGTGATATGTTTGATATTTTAATAGTGTTTTTGTATTTTTATAGTTTATTGTTTTTTGCCCTACTTTTCCCACTATAAAAAATCAATTTGTAAACTGTGTCTATTTTTTTAATCATTAGCTATTTCTAAATATAGGGGGAAAAGAAAAAAATACCCTAACAYGCAATATAGATTTGTCAGAAATAATGTCAAAGGAGTCTGATTTTCTTGGATGACAGGAAAACACACCTTATGCATAAGGAAAAACAAGTAGCAACATAYTGATAATAGGAAAACTGTTGTCTCAAAAGATTTTTCTTAGTGAGTTGGTGGGAAGCATGTGAGAGGAAATTTCTACTTGGTGGAGAACCATCTGATTGGAAGCCTACGTCAAAGTGTAATTACAAATGATTCATGGTGAGGTTGGAAATATTTCCAGTAGGATCTGATAGAGATCTGTCATATGTTTGAGGCTTTCATCAGTGTCCTGAGGGATGGAGATGTGTTATGCATCCAGGTAGTGTCAAGCTTGGGAGGGCTTAAAAACATCCTGACAAATAGGGCTATAAATGAAAATTAATTTACCCAATAGATGAAATARTTTGAAATAGTAGGATCTGTTTCAACAGGAAAATTGATCAAATTAAAACTTTTGGAGGCAGAGAGAGACCCATGAGAGAGTTTATGAACAGTAACTTGGACATTCCTGATTTTCTTTTGGAAGTTATTTTATTTCTGGAAGTGTATGCTTTCATCACCTGTTCGTTCTTAGATATTACAACCCAAGTTAGTTGTCTTGTTCATGTGTTTTCTCTGAACATGATTGGAATTATTTTATATGAGTTGATATCCATAGGGGCAGGAAGTACTCAACATGTTTTTAACTGTTTAACACGGTTCTTCATGTAATCATCCATTTGCAGTGCCTCAAACAGAAATTTTGCTTCCCCCCTTCCTTAGGCAGATAGTTATCCCCTCTAATCTGGCTTCTAATAATGTGTAATTTCTATAGAGTTAGTGTAGAAGCTTCAGTGGAGGACCAGAAGGCCACAAGGTGGGAAGTGCTGGGAAGACACACAACATTATTCAGCAATATTCATTTCCAGGGTTGTTGCCTGTCTGTCAAAAGAAGAGGGAGAACTAATTTACTGATTTGGATTAGCTGCTTCTAATACAATACATTAATCTTTGTGAGCTGATATGCTGCTTTTATGACATTGCAAAAACTGAATCACTGGGGCATTTTTAAAAATGCATATTCAGCTCTGTAGCACAAAATAAAGCCTCTTTTACCTACCTAAAAATGTCATCATTTAACAGTACATAATTAATACAAAATGGACACTCTGCAATGAACGGTGGCTCTTTTTCAGTCATGGTATGGTTACATGTTGTTGGAAATAAATGGTGAGCATGATCSTTTTTTCCCTTACAGAAAACCAGGTAATTTTAATTGACTTAATGTGTTCTTTGAGGATATATTASAAATTCTGATCTTTTGAAGTTTAGTTCCTGTCCTGATACTGCAGGAATTTACTTCTGATTAATGAGATGAGGAGAGGATAAAAAGGATAGTGAGCAGTTCCTCTGAGGCTTATAGTCTTGAATACAAAATTTTCTTGAAATAGTTTCTCAGAATAACTTTATCTGTAGCAATATGAATAACTGAGATGCTGCCATTAATGGAATAGAGCTGATAAAACAATCAGTAGAGAAGGGAATGTATTAGTGAATTCAGAACTGTGAGTTCTTCCTCAGTGTTGTTTCGCRTGCTCTTCACTTTGGTTCACTCAAGTATCTAAATAGAACAATAAAAGGTAATATGCTAACAAATATTCTGAAATGGTGTTTCCCTTCTCTGTACTAATTAAACCATATTTCTGATAAAACTTTGATGAAGCTAAGGTATACATTATTAAAAGAAATATTTTTTTAGTTATTTTGTTTATGCCCTG